GCTCCCACCTCCAAGAAAGATGTGTGATCAAATGGACCAAAAGCAGAAGTAATATAAATGCATAGAGAAAAATCAGCACTTTGGAACAGAAATGAAGCTGTGGTTGACTGTTCTGAGCTACACCCTCCATGTGTGTGCAATTAAAAGCATCTAGCAGGGGTTGGGGGTGTCTACTCTCTTGGGCTCCTCCTGTAGTCACTACAGTAGAAGTGTGCAGGTAGATATTGGGGGGGGCGGTTAATGAGAGAAAGATTGTGCATTATTTTTGTCTCTGAAGGTAAGTTAGTTATATGTGTGGGCACAGTGCCATTCTCGGGATGGTTGAGTCCTGTTATGCTGGGATTTTACAGATTGTTTTCAATTGGTCCTGCGCAGGAGCTCGGGCAGCTCAGGCAGCAGGGAGCTCGGGCAGCGCCATGACCATGGACTGCAAGGTCAGCAGCTCGAAACCACCAGCTGCACCACGGGAGAAAGGCGAGATGCTTTGTTCCCACTCAGACCCATAGCCCTGGAAATCCTGCACAGGGTCCTCTGGAGTTGGAACCTACTCCATGGTGCAGTGATGCGTGGGTTCCTGCTGGGGAAACTTTTGGATCTGTGGCTCTGTGGGTGATGTCATAAGTCACTGCCAAGCTCCTTCTCTCTGTACAGTAGGAAAACTGTCCCAGCTGATGTCTTGGCTGAGCAATGAAAGTGGGACAGGGAGAGAAAGAGGGAGAAATGTGTAATCTCCCATGTCTCTCTCTCTTTCTTTTTTTTTTTTTTTGCAGATGCCTCTGCCCCGCTTTTAGTGTGGTTTTCTGAGCCAGACTGGCTTTAGCCCCGCCCTCTAAACGCTGCCAGGGTGGGGTAGTTGCTTATGGGGTCCCATGTCCAGATTCCTAACCCATCATATTTTCCTTAATATCTTGATTTTTTTTTCACTTACTAGTGCGGGAAACTGACGTCCTGGATCTTATGGTAGATCCAGAGCTCTGGGGTTGTTCTATGAGTGCTTCCTTTGTGAGATCCACCTCCCTACCTGGTTTTCACTGCTATAGCTCCAACCGGAAGTCCTCTCTCATTGACTTTTTAAGATGAAAATGTTCTGATGTTCATGAAATTAATTTTATGCTTTGGAATTTATTTGACTCAAAGAAAAGCCTAGATACACAGGTGAAAGTTCTTTTCCAAGAACATAATTTTGTTTGTTTTGAGACATGCAGTCCTATGTTGCCTCAAGATTTAGGTGCGATGCAGTATTTCTACTTGCCATGAGCGCATACTCTAGTAATAAGACGCTTTCTTTCAAGCTCATTTCATGTTTGTCTTGAAGGCCCACTTATGTTTGTTTCCAGATTGGGCCCCCCAAAGTCAAAGCTAGACGCTGGTTTCCTGAGTTGTAGCAGCACAGTTTAATGCAATAAGATACACTGAAAACATTTACAGATAGCATTGCAAATCGACTTATTTTAAACATAAGTTGATACAGTATTTTGACAGACAAAAATATATGCTTTAGAGCCATTATATGCTTGTGTGTTCAGCAGTAAACTTGCAGTAAATTATACATTTATACCATAGTACATTTTCTTGATGGCTAGAGAGAAAAAGACACAATTTGAAATACAATGCTAATTATTTTCAAATGAAGAGAAAAAGCCGATATCCACTATATTTCAAGTTTACATTCCTTTGATATTCACAAAAAATCATCACTTATAAGAGTAGTAATGAAGTTGAATTTGGACACTGAGTGTTTGAAAGATCATTGTTGATATTTCAGTCCAGCTATAAGCTTGATGTTTTAAAAACTATGAGGCAAAACATTTAAGTTACCTAAGACACATGTACATTCATTGTAAAAGTATGAAAATAAAATATGTGTCTTATTCCAATGCTTTATCTACAAACACTACCTCCAGAAGGCATAGAGCGAGTGTCTAAAATGTTGCTGTTTTGTTTTGATTGAAAAACTGTTTGGAAAACCAGGTCTCCTGATCTAAGCTGGAGGGTTAAAAGTCACTTGTATTAACCAAGACGTCACAATAAAGCAGGGTAATAGGTTGTCATGAGTAGGAATTGATACAGAATCAATTGGTTTTGCCTACTGAGTGCAAACCATCAGCTCCCATATTTCACAACTTCATGATTCCTTAAATATTGGTGAGAATTGTGTACATAAAGACCTACAGAAATGCCTAAAGACCTTTGTGTTTATTCTTTCTCATTGAGCTTTACTATTTTTTGTACTTTAAAAATTGTGTCTTACTAATGCTCAGCACAATTATTAGTGGATTTACACTAAATTAGTTTTTTTTTTTTTAATATATATATACATCTAGTTTGCAATTGGGAAAAATAGGTTAGATAAAAATAGAGTTTTATTTATTAGTTTAAATGATCCTGTTTTTAATATTTTAGATAGGGTAAACTTTTTCTATATCTTTCTATTACACAAAATGAATAGAAGAAGTAAATAGTAAATTTTTAATCTTTATTATTTTCATATATATATATGATATATATTTGGAAAATTGATGTTCAGCAAAATTGTCAAGTCTAATGTCTGTTGTACTGTATTATGGTATGTGGGGATGTGTTTCTGGAAGCATTGCCTAAATTGGTTGAAATGGGAAACTTTTGGTGTTGGAGGGGATAAAAATCAGTATTTAGCTTGTGTGCTAGAAAGAGTGGCATCTCTGAAATACTGTGTGCCAGGAAATGGAATTCCCACCATAGAATTACTTTTACATGTCAATTGCTTTCATCTCTGTAGCATTCCTTGGATGATTCTCTTGCCCCTACCCCTTCTCCCAGTCCACTCTGAGAATCTTGGAATCTCCATACTTTCTGTTTCCAGAAATATGCTCCTGCCATGCATTCCACAGAGTACTGGACGTAGAGTATATTTTGATCAAATAGATGAATGAAAATAATTCTCTTTTGATTTAGGTCTGTATAATGCCCAGTCCTAGTGCGGTGCTGTAGGGTTATCACCGGACTGCTAATCACAAGGCTGACAGTTCAAACCCACCAGCTGCTCTTCAGAAACCCTAAACAGGGTCGCTATGAGTCAGAACTGACTCAATAGTTCTAAACAACTACAACAACCCTGGTCAGTTATTGTAATTTCATATTTGTCACTGATTGTTGATCATACATTGAAACTTTTGGATATCACGCATGTAACTTTCTAAAATTTTACATTGAAAATTATTCTGCAATTTGTTTGCTAAGTAAGAAAGGATGTGTATTTTTGATGTTTTGACACAATTCCCATTAAAACCTAAAAATTAAAGAGTGCCTCAAAACTAGCATTTTACAGTTCATTTTGTCTATCAATCACATCAAAATATTTTTGGGAAAAGTCCTTTAACTTGAACAATTCAGCCTAGATTTCTTTATTGGCTAGAATTCTTAGAGAACTTTACAATTTATCAGTTTAATTTGCTTTTGTAGGCACAGCTCCAATTATTTCTACACTGTACCAGTTGGAAAAACATTTAGAATTCTAAAGTGGATACAAGTCATTGTGTGTGTGCATGACCACACATACACACATATGTTTATAGGTACACATGTTTCTGAAAACCAGAAAAGGAGCAAAATGATACTGAATGACCAATCTCATGAAGTTAATGTAGACACCAAATGTTAACTGATGGCTTCTCTCCTGTAGGGTTTCTTTGCACTTTCTGTGCACTAGACAGCAAGGTCTGTTTGAAGCTCAAGGTCGGCAGTTCAGACTCACCAGCTGCTCTTTGGAAACTCTATACGGTGTTGCTATGAGTCAGAACTGACTCAATGGCATTAATCAACAGCAACACAGAAGTTATTGTCATGGTGATTTGGCCAATCCCTAAGACAGGCTTATGTGGAAAAAAATTGCACAGTCCCTTCCCCAGAGTCAGCAGATCCCTTCAGACTCAATCATCCCTTTGAATGAATATCCAAATAGGGATGGATTTTGCTTTTCTAATATTTGTTTTGTCAGCTGCTTCACTATGGGAACTTCCATTAATCAATGTTCAATGAAACACATTTGAATTTATCAATTTGTCTCTCAGTAATCTTAACCGATGCTATATAGCCTTACATATGGCTCAATTTTACTTCCAATACTAATTTAGATCGTAAGCCAAGATATTCCTTTTTTATCTCCCCAAGATAAAAAGTTTATCTCCTTCAGACAAAGATAAAAATCAACTGCACTACCCATGAGTTTCCGCTTAATGACCATCTTGATTTATTGCTTTAAAGTTGCCTAAAAACCCTTGTATGTTTCAGATGAGTGTCCCTGTGCATGTAGTAGTGGTTGTTGTTGTTGTTGTTAAGTGCCGTCGAGTCGGTTCCGACCCATAGCGACCCTGTATAGGGTTTCTGAAGAGCAGCTGGTGAGCTTGAACTGCCAACCTTGCGGTTGAAACTGACTTTGTAGTCCAGCGCATTAACCTTGCAGCACCCCGCCAGAACTTGATAGTAGTTACGGACATACTCACCTAAGCCATGGGCTCCTCTACAAAGCTGGAGTCTATGTTCCCTCATTTTGTGTGTGTGATTTTGCGTTGCCTGTGCTCAGAATAACACTAATAAAAGTATAACAAATTGCATATTCAGAACATGAAAGAAGGGGCTAGTCATCTAGTAAAGAAACTTCAGCTGGTAAATGTATTGCACGATTCATACACATGGAAATGAGTTCTTGCCAGAGGCTCACGGCAGCAGTTATTCCCGACTCACCGTACAGCAGCGTATCGGGTTTTGACCAAGCCTATGAAATCTCCTTTTTCTCAGGGTCTTAGCCAGCTACTGCCTTTTACGTAACAAGTACGCATACCCTGCTTGGCCACTGGTTCTTTAAGGCGCTGCTTGTCTTTTGTTCTTGAATGCTTATGGAACTATGGAGCATTGAAATCAAAACTACTATGGACGAGAAAGGAATTGGTGGTGTTCAGAGGCGAGTTCTTCGAGCTTGAGTTATACTCGTGCACTTGCGCTGAGGTGGATTTTTGTCCTCCTGAACTCTGCTTATATTTTTTTTAAATGAATTTGTTATATGTTGCAAACTCTCTTTCCACCACTCCCCTATTACCGTGCTTTGTGTGAGAAAGCAGAGTGTCCTCCGGGGTCATTGCAGGTGATCTTCAGTCCCAGACCCCTCTGGACTGGAGTCCACATCAAGCAGAGCCTCCCTGTTGGTGAACGTTGAGCTGAGAGTCAGGCTCTGCCGAGGCTTCACAGGTGCAAGTTCATCTAATTTAATATTTTCATTTTTCACCAGAATTGTCTTATCCATGTTTTCTTCACTGTGTCTCGCAACAACAGCATCAAATACATCTAATTTTGGTGGGAAAGTTCCACTTTCAAATAGGTATTTGGCTAGATAAGAGATGCCAATGTTGGCTAAGAATGAGCTAACCATGGCGATCGTCTTAAACGGGAATCTCTGATTATATATACCATTCTTATCAGAGTAATAACCCGGGTAAAAGATCAAGGGCTGTAAGTACAGGTAAGGCTCCCCTCCAGTTATTCTCAGGAACAGGCCAGAAACGTAGCCGGCCACGGCCCCATATGTGTTGGTTCCTTTGACGAAGAGCACACAGAGAAGCTGCGGGAAGATGATGATGTAAACGAGGTCTGAGCTGAGGTACCACAGCCCATACACGGTCTTTGTCAGCAACGCCATGGCAGTTGCAGAAGCTCCGAAGACAAACACAGTGATTCGCATGACCCAAACGATTTCCTTGTCTGATGCCTGTAAGAAATGGTCACAGTTGTCAGCTTTTCACGAGCTTGTTGGATCACATAGGCAGAGAACGAGATGGTCAGATTCAGTGCTTTAAAACTGGCCTAATGAACCCCCTCTGTGGGCACAATCAGCTTAAGGACAGCGTCCAAATCAAATGATCTAGGTCACTCCCAGGTAGGCCTTTGGAAGGAGTTTAAGTGTACCATATGTGTACCATATATGTACCATATGTGTACCATATGGATGGTATATAGAAGACCTAAGTGTTTCTGATTGCCTGGGAGGAGATATGAAATGAGCTAACATGGTGCCTGGAGCAGTGTCAGCTTACCTAGTAGTTAAGCACAGACTGACTGACTAAACCATCATGAAGATTTTCACATCAAAGATCCTGCTTTAGGGCTCTCTCCCAACCTCACAGCATCTTCCTACCGAGTCAAATCTCTTCCCAAACTTCTAGTCCCTGACAGGATGGAGTACCTAGGAAGCAAGTGAAGTTCAAGTGTGGGTTTACTTGTGCTTACTTGCTAATCTGAAGTGAACAGTTTCACCACACGTGCTGAAACACCCAGGAATTAGTTCACCACAGACTGGTAAGGAAGTCAGGCTGTGTTTACCTGCATAGTGCCCTGCATGGAGGGATAATTAAATCGGGAAGATTCCTATTGTTTTACATGTTAGAAGAGAGTTCTGCTGGGACCCAGGAAGCACGGACTAGCTTTGCTCTCTGTCTCTGTTGTTCCTGCTGATGTTAGTACTGAGGAGCCTGTTCCAGCTCACAGTGACCCTGTATAGGGTTTCTGAGCAGTGGCTGGTGGGTGTGAATGGCCTCCCTTTCAGTTAGCAGTCCAGTGCTTACCCTAGGATAAGTACTTATCCATCAGACCCTATAATATTTAAGGCTAACCATCCTAGTGTGGCACTGGAGGATAAGCACTGACTGCAAGGTTAGTTTGAGCTAGAAGGTGGGAGGTTCAAACTCTCCAGCCACATCTCGTTAACCCTATACAGGGTCACTGTGAGTCAGAAATGACTCAGCGGCTTTTAACAACAACAAGAGCAACAATGTTGTCTAATATCCTTACAGAGAGATTGTCCACGGAGTTTCCTTTATGAAAAAACAGCCGAGACCATTTCTGTAACCATTGCCTAGAAAACCTGTTGTTGTTGTTGTTGTGAAGTGCCGTAGAGTCGATTCTGACCCATAGCGACCCTTTATAGGGTTTCCAAGGAGCAGCTGGTGAGCTTGAACTGCCGACCTTGCAGTTTAAATGGCTTTGCAGTCTGGCGCATTAACCCACAGAGCCACACCTAGAGGGGGGCAAAGTTTTGCTCCAGGGAGGAAGGTAGAAGGGAACTCGTGGCCATGGGAACTGCAAACATACTGCGGCTGAATTGGTGCTGACCCACAGCATCTCTATAGGACACGCAGAACTGCTCCACAGAGCTTCGGAGCATCTGGTGGGCTCTAAGTGCCCATCTTTTGGTTGGCATCCCAACGCTTAATGTACTGTACCTCCGGAGGCTGTAAATGACCACAGTACCACACTGCTATGCACTCACTTGAATAAGGAAAATCAAATTGAGAGACTATTTCCTGACAAAAGTAGACTTGGGAATTCAGGTGACGAGCAGGACAGAAACTATAAAAATACCAGGTGGACTCATTTGCTCACCATGTAGTACCTCTCTCAAGTTCCCTGTACTATTTAATGACACTAACTTATTTTATTTAAAAAAATTTCAGATTTTATTTTTCTTTCCTCAGAAAGACAAATGTTTAAACTCTAGCAAGATAACTGTACTTTTTGAAAATGTTCTTGTTATTAAACTCCATTGAGTTGGTTTCAACTCATAGCGATCCGGTATAGGGGTTCCGCAAAGTGACTGGTGGGCTTCAACCTCTGACCTTGCAGTTCAACCTGACCTTGTTGTCTAGTGCTTTTCTTACAGCACCGTATCAGGAAAATATTTCTATTTATTTGCTCCTTTCTATATAAACTTGAATGCATTCATACTCATTTTCAATATTATTAATATTCATTATTAATTAGTCTTGAGTCCTGGTGTGGTGCTGTGAGATAAAGTGGTTCAAACTCACCTGCCACTTCTTGGGAGTCCTATACAGAGTCGCTGGGAGTCGGAACTGACTTGATAGAACTTAACAACAACATGCAAATCAAGGAGTGCTGGTGTGATGCTGTAGGATAAGCACTGGACTGCAAGACCTTTTGAACCACAAGATTGGCAGTTCAAACTCACCAGCTGCTCCTTGGAAACCCTACACAGGGTTGCTATAAGTCATAGAAGACTCTATGGCATTTAGCAACAACAACATGCTTAAAGTAACCAATACAAGATCCAATTTTACATCGGAGAGAATAAGCATATAACTGTATATACAAACCAACAGCAACAATGATAATATTAAGTTACAACTTTTAAAGACTTGTCCTTACATTTTGTCTGAATGAAAGCTGGTAGATGTTCCGTGCAAACATGGAACTTGCTGATAGGATGGAAGAGTCTGCGGACGACATAACAGCGGCAGAAACTGCGCCCAGACCAAAGAAGGAAATATACACAGGGCAGAGATACTGCAGAACGATGGGCAGAATCATGTCTGCTTCTTCCTTAGTCTTGGGGTCTGGTAACCCATATGCCGTCTGATTCCAGTCTGTTAACAGAAACAATAGCGACCAATAAGAAGAATGCTATGTGTCCATTAGGGCATCCTCCGATTGAGTAGGTAACCTTTGAAATAAATTCAGACTCACATATGTTTCTAGTTAGGTGAAGCATGCATGTACTATTGTAATCACTTCCAGGGCCGGAACTTGGTCTTGTACTTAATGTTCAAGAATTTTAAAAAATTCTTTAGTAGTAGAATAGCTTTTCATACATTGAGTTTTATCTAGCCTTTCTTGATAGCTTCTTTCTTCAAAGAAGTTCTGAAGTTTCCAGGTGTCATATGTGAGTCCCATTCTTACTAAGACCTTTAGCGTCTCTTGTCTATCTTAAGTACTTGTTTGGTAATTAAACTATCTGTAGTAGTCCACAGCACATAACCACCACCACCAAGGAGCTCTAGTAGCACAGTGGTTACGAATCGGGCTGCTAACCTCAGGGTCAGTAGTTCGAAACTACCAGCTGTTCCGCGGGAGAAAGATGAGGCTTTCTGCTCCTGTAAAAGATTTATAGCCTCGGAAACCCTGTACAGGGTCACTACGAGTTGGAACCGACTCCACGGCACTTAACAACAACAGTTTATTCTGGTTTCCAGTGAGTATTAGTTATTATTTTTTTTCTGTTATGTGCCTTTGAGTTGGTTGTGACTCATAGCGACCCTGTATAGAGTTTCTGAGGAGCAGCTGGTGGGTGGGTTTGAACTCCCAACCTTATGGTTCACAGTCCAGGGTGGATCCTACAGAGAGACATTTATTACTTCCCTGCAATTACATAGTATTCTGGTGGCATGGCGTGGTGTGGAAACAGAAAACAAATGCTTTAAACAGAATTTGATTTCTCTCCCACCATTTGAAAGTGGGAGAGGAGATCACTTTTTCACTCCTTGTTATTCAGTAGTTCTTGTGTAAATGCGTACAGACATTAATGGACCTAGTCTCACAGTCTTCTTCCACATATAAACGTGACTTTCAAGCTGCCTCAACATTGTTTTTCCTCCATCTAAATCCTCCAAGTAAAGAATTCCACTCACTAGAAGCGAGAGGCACGCTACGGTAAGGACGGTGTCTTTTAGTGAATGAAAAGTGCAGACTAGCACAGGACTGAAAAATTGGGAAGATTTTGAACTTCTGTTATGATAGAAGGACTTGAATCAAAGTTTATCTTTGAATATCGATTCCTTAGTGTTTAGCTATAAAGAAGCTCTGGTAGCGTAGTGGTTACGAATCGGGCTGCGAACCTTAACGTCAGCAGTTCGAAACTGCCAGCTGCTCCGCAGGAGAAAGATGAGGCTTTCTGCTCCCGTAAAGACTTACAGCCTCGGAAACCCAGTTCAGGGTCGCTATGGGTCAGATCTGACTTGACGGCACTTAACAACAACAACAGTGGTTAGCTATAGCAAACGCTGAAGAATACAGTAGAATCTGTAGCAGCACGTCTCTTTTCTTATTTGCTGAAGTTCTCTAATGTCATATTTAAAACACAAAGTCAGAGTGGTTTCTCTTAGAAACGATCAATCGTTTCACTCCCATTTTCTATCACCATTGTTCAAGGCCATGCTGAGATAAAACCAGTTTTGTAGCATTAGCTGACATGGTACCAGAAAGGCTAACCAAGATTCTATTCCTATTCCAAGAGAACCACACATTTTATGCTGTTTTTATGAGTCTATTGTCTTGTAAAACAAACCAATCAAATTACACACACACACTAATGTCCAAATCTGTTTTCTGCTTCAGAAATAAATGAGGCCAGCCATACTTTCAAGTGTTTATGTTGTAGATGAGCAGCTGAAAAGGGCAGTGTATGAAATACACATTGATTGTTTTTTTAAAATTATTTTGTTGTTGTTAGGTGCCATCGAGTGGGTACGGACTCATAGCGACCTTATGCACAACAAAATGAAACACTGCCCGGTCCTTATAAACCAATCAATAGCTCTACTGAAAGTCAAAATAACATTCAAAGTCAAAATATCCATGTGAACACCACCCAGAACCGTCTTTACAAAATGCAATGGCGTACGAAGAGAACTTTGTTTGCCATTGCTGTTGTTATTAGGCGCCAACCAGACTGTTGTGACTCATAACAACACCGTGTATAACAAAACACTGTCCAGTCCTACACAATCCTCACAATCGTTGCCAGATTTCAGCTCTTGGTTTTGGCCACTGTGTCAATCCATCTTGTTGAGGATGTTTCTCTTTCTCCTTTACCCTCTACCAAGCATGATGTCCTTCTCCAAGAACTGGACCTTCCTAATAACATTTCCAAAGTAAGTGAGATGAAGTTTCACCATCCCTTCCTCTGAGCCGGACTCTGGCTGTACGTCTCCCAGGATAGATGTGTTCATTCTTTCTGGCAATCCATGGTGCGTTTGAGTTTTGTTGACACCCTATAATGAAAATACATCAATCCCTAATTTTTTTTAGGGATTAATTTTCCATATTCACAGTCGAGTTTCACATGTATATGAGGTGACAGAAAATATCTTGGCTTGAGTTAGGTACACCTTAGTCCTAAAAGGGATGTCTTTGATTTTTAACACTTTAAAGAAGTATTTTTCAGCAGATTAACCCAGTACATCATTTGATTTCTTGATTGCTGCTTCTATGGGTGTTGACTTTGCATTCCAGTAAAATGTAATCCTCGACAACTTCAGTCTTTTCTATGTAGTCACGATATTGCCTATTATTAGTCCAGCTGTGGAAATTTTTGTTTTCTTTATTTGAGGTATAATTTATACTGATGTCTGTTGAATTACCTTTCTTTGAAATGAGCACAAACATAGATTTCTTCTAGTTGGTTGGCCTGGTTGCTGTTTGCCAAACGTCTTGGCATAAACAAATGAATGTCTCCAGTACTATATCAGTGTGTTGAGACATTTCAGTTGGCATTCTACTTGAAGCCTTGTTTCTCACTAATGCCTTCAGTGCACTTTGGACTTCTTCCTTCAATGCCATTGGTTCTTGATCCTGTGGTACCTTGATCATAGGGACCGTGGTTGTAGTTCTTGCATCTTCTTTTGATGCTTCCTGCTTTGTTCATTAGTTTGTCCATGGAATCCTTCAGTATTGCAACTCAAGGCTTGGCTTTGTCTTCTGTTCTTTCAGCTTGAGAAATGTGAAACCTATGCTTCCCTTTCCATTTTCTAACTCCAGTCTTTCTGTATTTCCTTATAATGCTTTGTCTTCTTGAGCAACCCTTTAAAATCGTCTGCTCACATTGTTTACTTTATCATTTCGTCCATCTACTTTAGCTACTTTACATTTAAAAGCAAGTTTCAGAGTCTCTTCTGAAATCCATTTGGGTATTTTTTCTTCTTCTTGTTTTTAATGACCTTTTGTTTTATTCATACAGTTGTCCTGATATCATCCTACAACTCATCTGGTCTTCAGTCATTAGTGTTCAATGTGTCAAATTTGTTCTTGAGATGGGCTTTAAATTCAGGTGGGATAGTCTCAAGGTTGTACTTTGGCTCTTGTTTCAATTTTCTTCAGTTTCACCTTGAACTTGCAATTGATGGTCTCATTCCACAGTTGGCCCCTAGCCTTCTTCTGACTGATGACACAGGGCTTCTCCATCGTCTCTTTCCACAGATGTAGTCAGTTTGACTCCTGTGTATTCCATCTGGTGAAGTCCACGTGAATAGTCGCTGTTCGTGTTGTTGAAAACAGGTATTTTATAAAGAGTAGGTAGTTGGGTTTTCAGAGTCCCTAGATTGTAAGTTTGATAAACCATGCAATCTCTTGCATCATTTCTTTCACTAAGGCCATATTTTTCAACTACTGATCTTCCTTCTTCATTTCCAACTTTCACATTCCAATCAACAATAATTGTCATTGCATTTTCATTTCATTTTTGATCAATTTCGGACTGCAAGTTTGGCTAAAAGTCTCAATTTCTTCATCCTTGGCATTAGTAGTCAGTATGCAAATTTGTGCAATAGTAGCAGTAAGTGCTCTTCCTTGTGGGCATATGGGTTAGTACCCTATCACTGACAGCGTTGGACTTCTGGCTAGATCTTGAGATATTCTTTATGACAATGAAGGTAATACTGCTCCTCTTCAATTTGTTATTCCTGGAATAATATACTATGTTGTTGTTGTTGTTAAGTGCCATCAAGTCACTTCCAACTCATAGCAACCCTGTACAGGAGTGGCTGGTGAGCTTGAACTGCTGACCTTGCAGTTCAAACCGACTTTGCAGTCCAGCGCATTAACCCACAGCACCACACCAGGACTATATGTAATAGACTATATGTTTGTCTAATTTTAAATGGTCAATACCATTTAAAATTAGGTCACTAATTCCTAGGACATTGATCTTTTCATTTCATTTTTGATACCTCTCAAATTTTACAAATTTATACTTTATAGTTTCCATGATCTGGTACTGTGGGATAAGCACTGGACTGCTAACCACAAATTCAGCAGTTCAAACCAGCTGCTCCTTAGAAACCTTATGCAGGGTTGCTGTGAGGCCGAACTGACTTGACAGCATTTGACAACAGCAGCCTTCCATGTCTGGATTTCTGACGGATTTTTTCAGTGATTTCTTTTCATTCGGAGTTGTCCTGAAAGCTTTACTCCATCCATGTCACTGAGGCTGACTCGCCTTTCTTAAGGCAGCTTCTCCAGTTGTATTTAGAGGCCCTTCCAACCCGAGGGGAGCAGCTCTCAGCACTATTTCAGATGATGTTCTGCTGCTATCCATACAGTTTTCACAGGCCAGGAATTTTAGATGTAGGCCACCTGGTCCTCCTTCCTAGTCTGTCTTAGTCTGGAAATGCCAATGAAACCTATTTACCACAGGTGATGCGACTTGTGTCTGAAATAACTGGTGGCATTTCTTCTGGCATCACAGAAACATGTAAGCCACCGGAGAACTACAAACTGACAGATGTCACGGGAACTTTAGTTAATCCATTGAAGTATGATTACTTAGTAGATTTCTTTGAATTTAGGTTAACGTGATGGGATTTTCACTATGTGTTCATGAAAATTGTTAATAAAAGCATACAGATAGAAAGGTCAGAAACAATAAATTCAATCAAATTAAAAGTGAGTTTTTAAAAACACGCTCTGCATGGAGGTCAGCTGGGTGTTAAATGTACCATCAGTTAGTGACGTCTGCCTTCGTTTATAGCTTTTCAGTACCCAATAATTGAGGTCTTTTTCTAAGAAAGAAATTTCTTAACAAATCATTGAAAATATGAAACAGGAATTTCAAGTTCTAATAATGCTTTGGAGTCCTGGTGTGGCACTGTGGCTTAATGCAGTAGACTGCAAACTCAGTTTCAACCACAAGGTCAGCAGTTCAAGCTCACCAGATGTTACTCAGAAACCCTATACAGGGTCGCTATGGGTCAGAACCTACTCAACAGCACTTAACAACAACAACATAACAATAGTGCTTTGGTTGTTATGATAAAAACAGATCAACTTGTAAACAAGTGGCTCTAAGCTTCGGCTGCACTTGGATGCAATAAAAACACTGATGTCTTGCTTTATTGCAGATAGACAAGGAATGGGTGTTAAAAAAAAAAATCTCCACACCCTTCCTCAGGTGATTTTAATGCACAACCCTGGGTGAGGACCATTGCTAACAGGAGGAGAGAAGCTGGTAAATATGCCTACGTTTGGGGCGTAAGCTCACAAACATTTTATTGTTGAAGCAGCAGTCCCCAAAACTTTAGAGACCTTTGAACTGTAAGACAGTCCTTTGGTGCTGTAACAAAAGTATCTACAGCAGTGTAAGTGAGTGAGGTGGGTGGGCCGGTAGGGCAGCTGGGGGTAATCCGCAAGCTCACGGGGTTTGTGGGTAAGTCTGAATAGTCAGTTAGGGAAGCTCCAGGAGGTTTACCTGTGGATGCTCCGATGGCGCCAATGAGAATGGCTGGGAGAGCCATCACCAGACACCCGAAAGCTGCCAGGAAGGAGAGCACTTGAGCGTAAGTGGCTGAGGATGAAGACAGAACTCTCTGGAAATAGGCTTGCCATGGGATTCCACCCAGAATCTGCAGAGAGACCACATGAACTCACTTCTGAATCGGAGACAAATAGCATCGATGAAAGGTTTTTGTTTTTTAAGGCTTATTATAATCAAATTAAAAATAGTAATAAATGAAACCCTGAAGTGTGGGACATGGTCCCACCTGCCACACGCCTCCATCCTTGTCCTTCAGTTCTTGTCATACTTACACGTTGAAGTGCACAGAATTGCTAGTTCTTTTCATCTGTAATTACATAAACTCATCCTTTCTTTTCCTTTACTTACCTGTTTCAAACTGCCTCAGAACTATCCAGAGGCTTCAGTTTGTTCTCATTTGGAGGTTGAAACCACCATAAAATATTGTGAAAAGATAAGAACATGAAAGTACAGCTTTTAATTGGAATCAGTGCAATTCAATAAATATGTGTGCAGTGGATTCCTGTGTCAGGCAATGCAATCTTGATCAGGGTGGTGGGGTTGTTAGGTGCCGTTAAGTTGGTTCCAACTCATAGTGACCCTATATAGGATTTCTGAGGAGCAGCTGTTGAGTTTGAACTGCCAACCTTGTGTTTCAAACTAACCTTCCTGGTCTGTTGCTTTATCCCACAGCACCACATTCCCAGGATCGCGGCACAAAGATGAAAAAGGGTTGCTGGTGGCTCACTGCCTCGTGGAAGAGTCACTGCCTTCTAGTCACTTCCCAAAGTTGTTGTTGTTAAGTGCCATGGACGTGGAGTTCGTTCTGACTCATAATGACCCTGTATAGGATCTCTGAGCAGTGGCTGGTGCGTTTGAACTGCTGATCTTGCAGTTCAAACCAACCTTACAGTCCAGTGCGTTGCATAAAGTGTTCAAGACAATATATTAGGGCATGTGAAGAAAAGGTTAGACTTTCTATGTATCCCCATTGTGCTTTCATCAAATGTTTTATATAATATGTTAATATAGTTGCTGCTGTTAAGTGCTGTAGAGTTGGTTCCAACTCAGAGTGACCCTACGTAAGGTTTCTAAGTCTTTTTAAATCTTTGTGGGAGCAGAAAGCTTCATTTTCTCTCATGGAGTGGCTTTCGGGCTCCAACTGCAGACTTTGTGGTTGGCAGTCCACTGCTTATCTTATGGAGACACTGCCCTCCTGTTAATACAGTACATATAAGAAATTGCTAAATAGGAGGGAACTGCAAAAAGTTCTTGGGAAAAATTTCATTACCTTTTAAGTCCATGTTTCCGTGTCCTTCTTGAAGCATCCGTATACATATACCTATATTGAAGATGTGCTTAATATTTATTGTTGGTAATATGTACAACCAAAAATTACATATGGGAACAAAATGAGAAACAATGAATTGACTAAGGGCGCATATAAGCGTAACGGTAAGTAACTTGGTGCTTAGGAAAACACTGAAATGTGTTACTGGTTGAGGGTGGCGACAGATGTGTACCTGGAAGAGTGACTAATATGAAGGGGAAAAGCAAAACGCCCCAGGGCCCAGCTGTGAGCCCCTAGGCACCGGTGTGGTTAAGGAGGGGCTGGGAGTGCTCAGTGGGCCAGCCTCCTTCACACTTCGTTTCCTTCCCCATCAGCTGGATGCAGAAGACCACAAGTAAAATTACAGGTCACGGGATCTGGAGAACCGGAAACCACAATTTGGAAGGAAGTCTCCTCACTGCATGGAGGAGAATAAAACAAAACAAAAAGGCAGGCAAAAGTAAACTATGGCCTCTGGAGTTGGATTTGTTGCCACCTTTGTGGGGAGGGTAATGACTGGAAAGGAGACAGAGCAGGGGAGTCCTGCTTCCATTCTGCAACTTGATCTGCTTGCTAATTAGATGGACATGCTTGCTTTGTGAAAATGCATCAAGCCATACATATATAGTTGTATAGTATTCAGTATATACGTCACACTTGAATAAAAAGGTTTTTAAAAGATGAAGAGGCTGGGAAAATACTTTTGTGTGGGTTACCCCCTCTGCTGCAGTCCTCTGTCTGGCCTGGAATGGGTGGCCCACAAATGGGGACTATGCAAATGAATGAAAACAGGAAAGAGTGTCAGGTTACATTGTATCCAAATGTTCTCCCCACAGTGCCAGGTTCTAGGGTGTCTGTATTGTTCCCATGTAGCACATGGGCCAAGCCCAGTGCCTGTTACATAGGACTGAATTCAAAACGATTTCTTTCAGGGACAAGCAATAGAGGTTCAAAAGCTTTTCCTATCTTTTAAATGTAAAAAGAAAAAATAGGGTGGTGTAGACAAAGGAAAGACATTGATTGAGGTTTGTGAGTATTTCAGTTAGAAGTTCAGACAGCAGTGTGATTCTCAACAAATGGCATACATTTTTGTGCCTTCCTCATTTCTTTCCTATAAACACCTGCCAAGCAGATTTTACAGTTTTACTACAGACCCCAGTAAAGAATATCCAGAAAGTAAGCAGGAAAATGCAGTAACAAACATTTTGTTGTTGTTGTTCTGATCCATAGGGACACTGTATTGGGTTTTCAAGGAGTGGCTGGTGAGCTTGAATCGTCAACCTTGTGATTCAAATGACTTTGCAGTCCGTGACATTAGCCCACAGGACTCCAACAAACATTTTACTGATGGTGAACTGGAGAACTTTTTCCTGAATGAAATACCAAAGGGCTTCAAAAAGTTTGTGGCAAAAAATAGAATGAAGAGATTATGGAGTTTTTCCACAGACTTTTTGAAGTCCCCCTCATCGACTGGATTTCATTTTCCCAGAATGCTTACAATTTTCAATCGAATGAAGAAAGGGATTAAATACGATGTACCCTTTTTCTTGACAACTTCAATCTTTTCTCTGTTGATAAGCATCAGTAGGCTCAAGTGTGACAACAATTGTGAGGTTGGCCCAAGACCTGGCAGTGTTTCCTTCTATTTAGGGTCACTATGAGTCAGTACCGACTCCATGGCACCTAACAACAACAACAACACAACCCTTTTTACCTGGGGCAGACTAACGTAATACTAAAGTCCAAAAAGTTACCACTAAAAGTAAAATCAAAAAAGGTATGTTAATTTGCCAAAGGGGAAACGAAAATAGTCTATTTTTCCCTTGCATTTTGATGTAAAAAATAACCTATTTCCTACTTTGAAATTAAGTTCTGTGTGTTGTTTTAATACAGTACTGTAGGAAAAGTAGTGGACTGCTAACCAAAAGGTTGCCGGTTCAAACCCACCAGCTGCTCCTCAAAGCCCTATACACAGTCTCTAGGAGTCAGAACTGACTCAAGGACACTTAGCTACAACAATCCTTCTAATTAGCAAATAATATGTAGTGGGTTGCCTTCTGTTTCCCCTTATTCAGTTCGTGTGCGATGACCCTTCTTACTTGTTTGTACCCATCCCTGTATGCCAATGCCTTTACCCAGCATTCTTCATGCATGTTCCCACGCTGCCTCAGACTTCTCTGTTGGTATTGTTCCTGAGTTTACCTCATGCACTTAGGATCTATGACACTGTTCATTTGGTTACTCTGTAATGTGAGACTGAGAGAATTCTTTATTTCAGAAGAAATGGACGTGTACGGCCTTCTCAGACTGGGGGAGGTATTTGGGGTAGAGCATCTATAACTGACATACTGCCTGTGGGTCACACATACTACCATGGATGCTGTCCTTTTAAGGTCTTGTTTGCTTCCCACCTCTCATATTCTTCAGCTTCCAGTTAGTGAGTAGCTGTACCCTTCTAATGACCGTGGCGGTGGCTGTGTGCCATTGAGTTGATTCTGACCCACAGTGACCTTGTATGAGGATCTGAGGATGTAACTCTTTCCAGGAGCAGAAAGCCTCACCTTTTCTCCATGGAGAGGCCGGTAGATTCGAATTGCTACCTTGTGGCTAGCAGCTCAGCTCATAACCCAGTCCACTACCAGGTTTCCTTCCACCCTTCCAATAGGTGAATTTTACTTGTGACTATGAAAAGCTTCCAAATGCATTTGAGTTCCAGACTAATTAATCTGCATTCTTCAGGTCAGAGCATCACTTACCAACAACAGAAAACTATCAAGCCACGAGTAGACTTCAAACGATTCGATGGTTCCCAGCCAAGGCTCCTGGTATTTGGTGTGCACAGCGGTGAACCCGATGTCGGTGACGGCAGGATGTGAGAGTGCAAAGGGCACACTGAGCCACTGTAACAAGATGACATGGGAGTGTGAGGTGAGGCGTTTCAGCATCTTGTATTTGCAAAGTTTTTACAACTTATTTTCTCACAGACCACATAACAAAGTAATTCCTCTTATAAAGACAGAGCGGGACCTGAAACCATGTTGCCTGTGTGATACCACTGAATACTGATTTAGAGAAATTAAAATAAGTCCATGTCGACCTCTTTGCTTAATTATACCCAGTCATATGAAGGATAGGGTCAGTCACCAGAAACCTTTATGGAAGAAAATGTTAAACTTGAGGAATTATGTATTATTTTTTGGCATTTTATTTTACTTTGGGGAAGATTTCCATTCATTCAAGTAGCTATAAAAGATAGGGTTGAGGAAGTAGTGGGTGAAACACATCCTCAACATAGGGTAGGTCCTATGTTACGAGGTAGAAGAAGAGGCAATAAAGAAAGAGATGGTCTGGCTGAGCAAGGTAAAGGGAACCATACTGCATGGTGTGTGGGGTGACTGGGTTTGCTGCTATGGGGTGACTTAGGGGAATGGGAAAGCTAAAGAGATGTGTGAAAAGAATCTTAAATTGACAGGAGCTCTGGTAGTGTAGCGGTTACAAATTGGGCTGCTAATCTCAGGGTCAGCAGTTTGAAACTACCAGTTGTTCTGTGGGAGAAAGATGAGGCTTTCTGCTCCTGTAAAGATTGAACAGAGGACCCTGCACAGAACTGACTCCACGGCACATAACAACAGCGACATATTATTCTGTAGGCAGCTGGAAGCGAGTGGAATTTGTTCGGAGCTTTAAGATAGTTGAAGACCAGGAAGAGGAATAATGTGATACTGAATAAGGCCAATAAAGGCTGGAAGCAAAGGGCTGACACTGAAAATGAAAAGATATTGGTACTCATCCAGCACTATGAAGAAAAAGGCAAAGCCCTTGATTCCAACAAGAAGGCAGCAGCCAGGGAGAGGGGAAACTGACAGATGAACTGGAAGTTTACAATCGGAGAGACAGAAAGTTGATGATAAACTCAACAGAATCTGCTAACTTCAGAAGAGGGATTGGTGTAAGATGTAAGTTGGTCCATTAATTAGCATGCCTTTAAGGCTAGAAAATAGATCATACTTGGTCTTTTATAGAGCCAATTGGAGAAATCCTTCGTTAGTAACCAATAGAATATGCTGTGATAACATTTTGAAGGAGAACAATATTTTAGAATATACAATATATACATATGTATATTTAGGATAAATGCTGGACTGCAAGGTAGATTTGAGCTACAAGGTCAGTGGTTCAAACCCACCAGTCACTCCTCAGAAACCCTCTACAGGGTTGCTGTGAGTCGGAGAAGACTTGGCAGCCCCTAATGTTAACAATAATACATGCATGTATATGTGTATAGTGTTGATACATACATGTATATGTGCATAGTGTTGTTGATACATACATGTATATGTGTACAGTGTTTATACATACATGTATATGTGTATAGTGTGGTTGATACATACATGTATATGTGCATAGTGTTGTTGCTATATACATGTATATATGCATAGTGTTGTTGATACATACATGTATATGTGTATAGTGTTGATACATACATGTATATGTG